TAGTGCAGTCTGTCATATAGTGTTTATAAAGTCTACAATACTGTACAGCAATATCCTAGGCCTTAATATTCACTCACCACTCACTCACTGACTTAACCCAGAGCAACTTCCTGTCCTGCAAGCTCATGGTAAGTACCCTATACAGCTGTATCACTTTGAAAATTTTATACCATATTTTTCATGTACCTTTTCTATGTTTAGATACACAATTGCTTACCATTATGTTTCAAATGCCTACAGTATTCAGTACAGTAACATGGTGAACAGGTTAGTAGCCTACAAGCAATAGGTATTCCATATAGCCTAGGTGTGCAGTAGGCTCTACCATCTTGATTTGTATAATTACATTCTATGATGTTTACGTATCAATAAAATCACCTAAAGAAGCATTTCTCAGAATATATTACTACTTCCACCACTAAGCGACGCACAAAGGTAGCTTTTTTGATGGAATGATGAAACTGCAAATTATGTATCTGGTATAAAAAACTATATATATATGTATACCAGGTCTGACAATTAAGTTCATAAACTTGCCACTGTGTACTTATGTTGGCAGTAACTATAAAAACAACTCTGTAAGGTTTCATAACCTTGGTACATGTGTATCAGCATCTCAGCTGTGTTTGTGTTGATGTGTGGCATTCAATATTGCTGTTGTGTGTTTTGTGTGCTATTTGACAGCTCTGATGGTCATTCCAGAATAAGAGTCCCAAAATTACACGGAAGGGAGAACAAGGAGCTGGCATCAGTGCATAGCTTCCCAAAGGGAGTATTCAGGTGGTGACTATAATGGTATTCAGCAATGAAGAACACAGCACTTTATCTAGAAAGAGTTCATGAACTTAACTGTCAGACCTCATACAATGACAGCTCTGATGGCAACTGCAGAAAAAGAGTTCCATAATTACTTTCAAGGGTGGATTAGGAGCTGGTGTAGGTGCCTAGCTTCCCAAGGGGAGTACCTTGAAGGTGACTATAATAATATTCAACAGCGAGTTATGTAGCACTGTTTCTAGGACAAGTTCATAAAACACACAGATCTCATGTGTGTGTGTGTGCACGTGTGTATATTTCTTAACATATTCCACAAAAAAATAACTGGTATAAAAACTATGAAAGTTGCTATGGAAATTACATTGGGAAATTAGGCATTCCCAAATTGATGATGGGAAAAGAAAGGTACAGAGAGTCTTTATCTGACAGAAGCAATCAATGTAACCTGGTTCTTTGTACCCTCAATGAATCCCCAGCAATAAAAAAGAAAGGTACAGCAGTGGCCCTTCTCATGTTAATGTGCCCATCAGAAAGGAACAGAGAGAACCAGAAGCAAGAAGGGCCCCAACCTTATGCCTTCTACAGAAGCCTATGTATGGTTGGGGTTTCTCCTTTGTAGGAGCAGAAGAGTGAAAAGGCAGAAAGGCAAGGAAGAACATTAGCCCAATTCTCCTCTTTCTCTTCCTTAGCACTGATCTCTGGGTAACTACAACAGATGAATATTCAGAGCCATGTTATTCATAATAGCTAAAAAGTGGGAAAAAATATTCATCAACTGAAGAATAGATAAAATGTGATATATCCATACAATAGAATATCATTCAGCCATCAAAAGAAATAAAGTACTACAAAAAAAAGAAAGCACTGATACATTCTGGCTACAACATGAGTTAACCGTGAAAACACTGTGTTAAGTGAAAGAAACCAGTCACAAAAGACCACATACAGTATTATATGATTTCATTTATGTGTAATGTCCAGAACAGGCAAATTTATGGAGACAGAAAGTAGATTAGTAGGGGGAAGAGAATGGACAATGCCTGCTAATGGGTATAGGGTGTTAAAATATAGTTCAAAGGTGACTGTGGTGATGGGTGTACAACTCTGTGAATGCATCACTAAAAATCATTGAGTTCAGTATTTTAAATGGGAGAATTATACAGTATGTGAATTACATCTCAATAAAGCTATTTTTTTTTTTTTTTTTTGAGACAGAGCCTCAAGCTGTTCCCCTGGGTAGAGGGCTATGGCTTCACTGCTCACAGCAACCTCCAACTCCTTGGCTCAAGCGAGTCTCTTGCCTCCGCCTCCCAAGTAGCTGGGACCACAGGCGCCAGCCACAACGCCCGGCTATTTTTTTGGTTGCAGCCATTATTTT